GAGGCAGGGACAGGTGTACAAACTGAATAGAATGCAAACCACTGGACAGCAGGCCAAGTGATTTAAAAGTAAAAATCAACTTATGCCTCTGTTATAATTTCTAGAAGGCTTTCATACATGTATATTTCTTATAACATCAAATGTTAATAACTACACACCAATACTTTTATAAAATATTATGACCTAAACATTTTCATTTAATTTCTCTTAATTAAGCTTGAAAATTAAATTTGCTAAGGAAATATCAAAGTTGTCCTGTTATAAATGAGAAGTAGTAATACAGTAGATGTCAGGTTCAGGCATTTCAAAAAAATTAGGCATTGAAATAAATGCAAAAAGTAAAAATTAGTTACCTCCCAAGTGATCTTATTATAAAATGGAAAAGAATTCCCACACATGAATCCTAAAATCATAGTTAACTTTGCAGTTTATCAATCTGATGTACCCTGCCTTCACATTTAACTTATTTGTAAATACTTTCACAAGGCTACCTAAACACTTACTAATTGGTTAAATATGCTGCCTACATTAATTCCTGTTAAAATTAAAGAAATTAAAGGTCCCCTTTTGTTTTTTCACAGTGGCTGATATACATTCAAAGTATCTGATGTTTCAGAAAAGGTGTTTATCAGGTTCTTAAAACATTTAAAACACAGCTCAAGGGACAATTTATATAGCCCTTTTACCTTTAACATATTCACTATCTTGGATTCTGTTGAATACATTCAGTTGCTTTTTCCTTCTTCTGAAACTTTTCCCTTACTCAAATAACTAAAGAATCTAAGATGTTATCAATACAAAGAGAAAAAAAATATATTTATTCCTTATACATTTGGAAACACATCAAAAAGAACAAATATTCCAGGCAGTGTAAGTAAACTCATTCAGTAAAACTTTTTTCTTGGGTTTTTGTGTGTGTGTACGTAAATGTTTGTGTAACAGGTAATTTTTTGTATATCTTAATTTTCCAAAGAACAAGATTCCAAATAAAAAATATTAAAACATTCCTGGAAGGAGTCAATATTTTGATTACACAGCTCAAGAGGCAAATGATCATTGAAACAAAATTTACAAGATGACTATAGGTATATGTTTCAGTTATCTGGCTTTTTAAATGTCAAAGACAGGGAAGCATTACATTTCATTTAGCAAACAACAATTTAATCCTTAGAAAGGAAAATTTCCAGAATGCAACCAAAATGTGTATAGTAACAACCAGGATTATGTTAAAAATGAAGGAAAAAATTCCCACCTTTGTGGGATATTAAATCAAAGGATATTAAAATCAAAGAGTACTCTTAAAAATTTTAAACTATATTGATAAAAGCAAATTCACTAATTTATTTAGCTGTAAGATGTCTGCTTATTAAAATATTTTGATTATAATAATCACACATATAGGGAATTTTATCAGTATTAGCCCATATTTATAAATTATCTTCCACAACAGCTAAACTCCTTATAGAATTTTGAATAGCAGAATTAGGCATATAAATTTCAAGTAAGAATTCAAAGTAGGAGGCTTCGCTAACTGAAATAAAGATTTTGAGTATTCTATATCCTTGTGTTATTTCTGTAAATTGGTACAATTTAGTAGTAGCTTCAGAAAAGCTATGTTCAATAGGCAGTATATCTGAGACATTAAAAAAGCTCAACATAACCAATTTAAATTAGAGATTGTGCTGTGTCCTATCTAAATAAGACTCTCCAAGGAATTACAGATTTTATACTTTGTGCACTCTCAGTGCATTTTCTAATTCACATAAGTAGCTGTGTAAAAACCCAAACACGAAGAAACTTTTATACCACCCTTTGTGAGAGAGGGGGGGAAAAATCACAATATCAGCACTTTTATTTAGGTTGACAAACTAATCATAACTTTAAGTGTCCAAACAGACTAAATAACTCAATGGTCTAATGTACCTGGAAGAAATATTTTTCCTTCACTTTCACAGAAACTGAATTTATTGATAGTTGCATCTAGTTTGTCAAAGTGGCAACTATTCAAGATCCAAACGTCTCATTTATTTCAAACACAGAGGCTAATTCTGACTACTTATAGTTAATATAAGTTTCTTCAGCCAAAATACAATAAAAATGTAAGAGAAATTTCAAATTTCAAATATTAATGGCATTCTGAAACTTCTGGAGAGATGATTATTTTGGGGAAGGGGAAGTTTCTCTTTCCCATTGATAGTTTAATCACTTTCCAATCAGTTTTGATTTAACAGTGGTTCATAGGAATAGGTTTTAAAGAGTTCTTAGAAAGTTATAATTGCTTCCAAAATCAGAAACCACAGGATGATGTACTCAAACACTACACCAATGTAATGCTGTTAGGGAGGTATTTACAGAAACGTGCAGATAGGAGCTCAGTTGTGAACACATGTTAACATACAATGGGCTTCAAAACAATAATCTGTTTGTACAGTTTGGGAAGTAAAAAATATTCTATATAAGACGTCTAAAAATCTAGCTCTAATTTAAATCCATTTCTCTAACTCATAAAAACAAAGGAAAAGAGGCATTTATTTCAGAACTCCATATACCTGTGGAAAACAGAACACAAGTAAATTCTACTTGAGATGAACCTTAATCTTAAAACAGAATTCATCTAACAATTGGCGTATTTTAAATTTTGAAAATACTGTGAAAATGTAAACCATTAGAGTCAAGAGTAGTTTATGGTCAGTAAACATTTCTTGTTAAGTAACACAAATAAATTCAACTTAAAAGATGCAAACTGATAGGTCTCAGAATTTTAAAACCTTTTAATTTCAAAGTAGCAGAGTTACAGCACATGTATAGGATGGGTATAAGTAAACTTTTCCATGGTGTTGGTGTATGTGCTTTTTTTTCCCCCTTAAAGAAATGCCTACTGCTTACAGGGTAAAAGAATCTCCACCACTCTGCCTGCAGTTTTCAACCAGAAGTCCTCAATGTACCTTAAGCCAAATTGAATATTAGGTATTTTACAGCTTTTACAAAATGGCTGTAAAATCACATTATGGGCATACACAGCTCTTTGATCTTACTGCACAGAATTCATAACTGTTCAATAATGCTATACCATTACACCACACACCTTAAACTATTTCCATTTTTCCACAAATCCTTCCAAAATCAGCTTCCAAAGCAAAGAAATGTAACATGAAAAGTTCCTGGGAGGTGTGTTACACAAAAGAACAGCTTGGATACAAACTAATCTACGCAATATCCATCTTCTGTTGAGACTGTTTATCCCTCCTTTTCCCTCCATCACTCCTAAAGGTGGGTGCACTTGAGTAATGGAAAGAAAAGGCTCTTCCATCACCACACCCTCCCAGCACCTCTGCCTTTGGTCCTCAGACAGTGATTCTGTGCAGGTGATGAAAATCATAAGAAAAGAGAAGCTGTCCCTTTAAAATGCCCTGCTCTGTCCCATATCCCACGTGGAACCAACATCAGCAGCACTTTCCCATTAACTTCAATGTGATGCAAGAGGCACCATCCTTTTATACACGTAAAACCAGAAAACTTCAGCTTAATATTCTTTACTGAGGACGAACAGGTGAAGCAAACGGGTCAGGAAGGGAGAAACCAAGCAACTCCCCACCCCTCCCCAAAAGGTGCTCCAGTCCTGCACTCCAGTCTCTCTGTGCAACATCACCTCTCTACCCCTCCTCTGTAGAGCCCAGTTTAAAGAAAGGAGGGAGCCACTAACAAAACCTGAAACATAAATGCGACGAAAATGCAATCTAGAGCCGGAAAGGTTTATTCTTCCAATCACACATATTAACTCTATTAAGAAAATGGCATCACATTTTTTTCCACCAAAAAAAAAAAAAACCCACCCCACAAAGATCATTAAAAGAGAGTTATAAAACAGCAAATATAGTGTTTATCTTATCTCAGATCAGTCCACATTACCAATAAGTTTAGCAGTTTCTGCACTACCACCTCCCCCCTCCCTCCCCTCCTTCTCTTGCATCGGATTTTCACGTTTTCTCATTGTCGGTTGAGTTATAAAAGGCTTTTGCCCTTCGAAAGTTTTAAAAAATAAATAAATATTAACTCCTTGGTCCCTGCAAAGTCAAAATGGACTTCAGGGGAAAGGCGGTTCATACTTTTACCTTTAGCGAGAAAAGGGGGAGCATCCCGGATTTTTAGGGATTTTTTTGCGATTTTTAAAAAATTTTTATTTGGTTATATGCCTGAGTTCTCCCTCCATTTTGGTTGTTTATGATACTGACAACAAGCTGTCCCTGCTCTGTGCAGATCTCCTGCTTTCATTTAGCACCCCCTCCCCCTACCCCCCCTCGCAGCCACACATCCAGGGCTCACACCTCCCCGCAGACCCCGCACCCCGACCCCGACTCGCCCACCTGAGGAAAGGGCAAAAACAAATTCATTTCTCCAAAAAAGAAAAACCTCTTTTGAAAAAGGGGCAAAGTTACCCCAAGTCACTCAAAGTGCCCCCCAAATATTGCCGACTGCGGGTTTCCGCCAGGCCCTTTGGGAAGCGACCTTCCCCGGGATGTTTTGGTGGAAAATGCGGAGAGTTTACTCTCAAAACTGAATTTATATTAATTTTTCCCTTATTTTTCGGGTCTCTAATGTCTTCCGCTCTCGCTGCTGCCGCTGCCGCTGTCACAATATTCACAGCACCAGAGAGGAGGAGGAGGAGGAGGAGGAAAACTTTTCAAACTTTCCAGACCCTGAATAAAGGGTTTTTTTTTTTTCCCACCGACCTCACCTTTGGGTCTACAGCCGCATCGCCCCCTGCCCTGTCAGAAGCGACTTCGGGAATCCTCACACCCCCGCTTAATTATTTTATTTTATTTTTTATTATTATTTTTCTCTCTGGGGTCCTGAGCAGGGGCTGAGAGTAGCACAAACTTTTCCTCCTCCTGCCGCCGCTGCTGCTCCTCTGCCCCCTCGGCTAGTCCCATAATTTAAATAACCCTGATATTTCTCCCGCTAAACGCCTCTCCGCCGCCCCGGACCCCGGGAGAACTCACCGCGGGGCTTTAACATCCTCCCTCCGGCCCGTCCGCCGCCTTTACACCGCCCGCGGAATTTCTAATAATTTTTTTCTCATATTTCGGGCTGGACGCGGCGGGCCTGGAAATTGTTTCCTTACGCCTCTTTCCAGCAGCCATTGTAGTGTATGCGCTGCCCCTGCAGCCCAACTTGCAGCTGCCGCTGCCGCCGCCGCCGCCGCCGCCGCCGACGTCGCGCCCACCGCCGCCTCCCCGGGCCTGCTCGGCCGCCGCCCCCGCCTCCCGCCGGCCCGCCCCCGGCCCCCGCCCGCCGCTGTGCCCGCCCCCCGCGCGCGCTCCGCCCCGGGGCCCGCCACTAGGCGCCGCCGCCGCCACGGACGGGCCCGCCGATTGGGCCGCGGCGCCGTCCGTCAAACCAAAGTGTTAAGAGGCGGGCCGCCGCGCGGGGGGCGCGGCGGGGCGGGGGAAGGGGGCGGGGCCGCGCGTTCGGCCCCGCCCACTCCCCCCGCCTCGGCCCTCCTCCCGCCAGCTGGGGGCGGGGCGAGACCCGCCCGCCCCCGCCCGGCACGGCCCCGGACGGCTGTCAGTCAGGCGGCGGCGCGCGTTGATTGGGCCGGCGGCCGCCGGGGAGCGGGGGCAGCACGTTGGGATGCGCGCTACTTAAGGTCCAGCTGCGTGAGCCATTGACGTGTTTGGAGCTGGAGACGGCCTGGGCGCTGGGGAAGCGGCCGCCCGAGGTGAGTGGTCCCCCGCCCCTCCTTCCGCGGCGGCTGCAGGGACGCGAGAAGAGACGGGTGCTCCTGGGCCACGGCGGGGCCCGAGTCCCCTTCTTCGGCGTGGAGCCGCTGCAGCCAGGCCTCGCCTCAGCGCGGGCCCTTTCCTGTCGCTCCTCCTCTCCACGACACGGGCTTATTCGGGCTGGGGACGAGGAAGGTGACCCCCGCCCTGCCTGGGCACCCCTAGCTCTTCCTTCACGCCGCTTCTCAGCCTCTGGGACCTGATTGCCGACCCCCACTTCCAATTTCCTGCGTACCCCTCTCCCCTTGCCCGACTCGGCTCCGTTGAAGGTCAGAGCAAGGTGTGTTCACCTGTGCCGGTTGTCCACCGTTAGACGGGCCGGCAGCAGCGCGGAGGACAGCGAGGCCGCGGACTCCCAGCTCCAGTTTCTCCCCGGGCTGCCCCGCCCCGCCGGGCCATGCCGACTTCCTGACCCTGCCTTTCTGCACCCAGCAGTGGGTTAGGGGCTTCAGGTTCTCGCGTAACGTGCTGCAGCTTCCTGCTAGTTGCATCTGCGTTTTATCAGAGCCACTGACCCTGCCTTGGCTCGGACCAGCATGTGGGCATGGACGTGTCCAATAACGTTCCCTTCCCCTCACCTTTCAAAGCTAGTTGGAGAGTGGGGATGTGAACTGGATGGGAAATCAAGACATACTTTTTAAAGCAGTTCGCCTTTTGGAAGAGACGTTAGAGTTATTCCTCAAATGTGCCGGGCTTTTGCGGCCCTCCCTCAAATCTTTGGTTTTCTTTCTGGCTGTCCTTTGCAAGTAGAGAGCTCTAGAATATTTGTTTAGTGCCTTCAGAAAGTAAGCAGATAAGTCCTCTCCAGCAGATCTTCCCTTTCGCCCCTCCCCTCACTGTAAATTGACATTTCCTCTTCATTTCCAGTTGATGTGTGAGGATTCTCGTGCAAAGGTGACGTTTAGAAATCCGAATTTCTATTGACCTGTATTTAGAATCCGGAAGGGAAAGGAAAGGAAGTCAGAATAAATTCGTGCTGCAAGCCTGATTTGCCTATATGTGATGCTACCTACATGTTATTTTTAAAGAATTCTTGGCTGATGATGATAACAACAATGCAGCGAAAGTGTACTTTCATGTAAGGCACGCAACCTGATTTTGTCTGTGAATGATCATTGTTGAGATTATATATAAGGAATGTGAACAGCTAAGCCGAGTTCTGTGTGCTCACATCATAGGATGGATGAAAAAAGGAGGGTGTAAGTTACTTAGTATCATCATCTCTTAGTAAGAAGTCAAGCCTCCAAAAGAATTGTGTTTAGGAGAGGAAGAAGCTTCTAGATATAATTGAATAGCACCTTGAATTTCCCTTTTACCTAGATGTTTCTGTTAGCTAGATATACACATGTATTGTTCAACAAAAATCATAAAATGTTAGGATTACTTGGAGGATTCCTGAAAGTTAAAGGATCCTGGAATGACTAAACTTTTCTCCATCCTTCTTTGCAAAGATTAATCTCGTTTAGCCTGGACATCCTGGTCTCTTAACTAGGTGAGTCTTGATTGGAAGTACCTCCACTTTTTAGGAGCTCATGGGGTTTGATTGATTTTCCTGAATATGCCTTGTTTCTTTAAACATGACTGATATTGTTTGATGGTGTCATCTAGGGCAAGAAAAGTAGAAACCGTTTCATACAAAAATTCTGACCTTTGTCTGGTTATACAGACTGACACAGTTTTTTATTGGATGGTGTTATGTAGGTCATACTACATTATTGCTTGTTTTCCCCAATTTAGGTGGAAGATGATGAAGCTAGAACAGGATTCAAGAGTTCAAGTTAACTCAGCCCCTTAAACTTAGTGCAGAGCATTTAAAAATATTTGTGGGTGGCTCATCAATAGTATACCGATATATTGAAATGAAAAAATCACTTGGCAGTAACAGTTTGTCGATTATTGTTTTTTAATTTTTCTCTTTTAGTTCCTTTCTATGACATGTCTTGAAGATAATAGGCATACCAATTTCAGTTAAACTCCATTATAGAGAGCAGTTATCCTGGAATATAGTTGATGTATATGAGTACTGTGTGACTTCGAATCACTAGTTGGCTCTTAGAGAACTGTGATAATCTTTAATTGATAAAGACTTCTGCAGAGTTGCATGTGTAAGACTTGAGTTGGAAGATGAATGGACCAGCACTCTGTGACTTCCTTTAACCCAGGGATGTATCGGTTAAATAGAAGATGCCACTAGAAGTAAAGTTTCAGTTTTTCTTTTTTAGCTTTTTAGAATGCCAGCTAAGCCATAAGTTGGGTTTTTTGTTTTGTTTTGTTTTGTTTTTTTTGGTATATTGGCCACCCCTGGTGCTGGCTACAGAGTATACACTGTAAGTTTAGTAAAAAAATGTTTCTGCTAAAGTTGGGTTGTACCAATTACTCCACACTTATTTTGTATAATGATCAAATATATAATAAGTAATCGTTAGAATGCATGCTGTGTTTGGGGCACCTGGGGGACTCAATCAGTTAAGCATTTCAACTCAGGTCATGATGTCAGGGTCCTGGAATCTAGCACCTGAGCCCCCAAGCAAGCCTCCCACTCAGCAGAGAATCTGCTTGTTTCCTTCTCCCTCTGTACTCTCCACTGTGCTTTTGTGCACGTGCTGTCTCTCTTGCAAATAAATAAATCTAAAAAAAAAAAAAAAAAAAAGAATGCATGCTATATTCTTAGGTTTTGTTAGTATACTTAACAGTTTAACATTTAGAAATAAAGATAAACTAAAACTTAATTATAGCTGAACTATCTTCCTGGACATTATAATCAAGTTTCAGTGGATGAATTTAAATATGGCCTGAGGCACCATGGCAATGCAAAGGAAAAACCCATTCAAATATTTATTCTCATGATATAGAGGATGTATGAAGTTCCTTACTGGATAATCATTATACCAAAATTAATTTTTAAGTACTCATGGTTCTAATGAGATGTACTGATTTATTTTCTGTCATTCACTGTGTAACTCTTTTCTCCAACATCTGCCTGCAGTAAGAAAACTGTTAGGATGCCCATGGTAGCACGGAGGCTGAGAGATCCTGACATAAACCCTTGCTTGTTGGTAAGATGGTTTGCTTTCACTTTTCATGAGTATTAACTTGGAAAAACAGGCTTGTTCTATTTTTGTGGGCATCTGTTTTCTGGAGTTCTTGAATAAAGTTATTTCTATTCAAAAAATATTCCTGGCCAGTGTATCCTTATTTCACTAGAGCATTTTTAGGTATTGATAATTTAGCTAACAAAAATCCATCCCTTCTAGGTTTGCATTTACATAATGTGCAAGCATTTACTTGCTGCTGTAGTATCAGACAGACATATGTAAACACCAAGGAAAATGTTTAGTCCAAAAGTAGAAAGTTGCACAGCATATTTTCAACTGCCACTGAAATTTATGTGTTAATGGCAATAATTTCATCTTGTCCTTGAGAGAGCCTGGCTGCAATAAGGGGTACCATAGAATTTGCCTATTTAAAGCCTGAAGGTTTCTACAAAGGTATCTCATGCACAAAATGTTTTGCGGTAGTAATAAGGTTTTATTGGCATTTCTTTGGTATGACTAGCAATATAGACTTGTGGCTTTGTCACCCTGGAATAATGCAGTCATCAGGCTGTGCTATTCCCTGAAGCTACATGCATTTTCCAAATATGCACATTTTCGTTAAATATTTGGCATAGAAATTTAGCTTTGTTTCATATGTTAGATCTGTTTTCAACAGCTTTATTAAGTCTCTGTAGATAGACCGTGTTTCTTAGATCTGTGAAGCAAATTACCTACCCCTTTAAAGCTTTCCTTTAGATGACCTCTCAGAATCATACTTTTCACTTTGAAGTTTGTTATCCAATCTACTTTCCGTTTAGACAGCTTAATTTTAATTCCCCAATGGCTCCTACCTTCCTTTGAACTCACAGCCCTGTGTTGCTCACTTAGGTTTTGAAGTCATATTAATGATATCTATTAAAACTGCGTACATAATAGTATATGTACTTACGTAATGGAGGGAGAGATAGCCAAAAATACATTGAGATGAGTGGTGTTAATTTAAGTTGCCTTGATGTAGACCAGTTATTAGTGACTTACTTAGGATCTTGAAACCAGCTTAACATCAAACAGTCAAGTCAGAGTGAGAACTTGGAAAAGCAGGACAGCTGCGCTCTGCGTCTGGAGACTGGGTTTTGATTCTCCCTGTGCAGTAGTGATTTTCAGCACCCTGCACCTTGCCTCAGCTTCTTTGTTAAATGGTTACTGGGATAAATGATCTCAGTCACTGCTCCAGCTCAAGTTCCCGTGATCAGATACTCAGAAAACTGACCCAGACTATGAAAAGGAAGATGTCTGCTCTGGGCAGAAGGAGTGCTGGGATGGTTGGAAAGATAATTCAGTTTCTGTTCATTATATGTTCATTAAAACAAACTGAAGGGAATGAGTTCATATGCCTGCTTTGGGGGAAGTGGCTTCAGAAGTTTGGAGTTTTGGGGTTTTAAGATCCCATTCCACTCTCTTAAATGATGCCTATCTTACATCTTGAAGGAATCTGATGCTTCTACCAGATGTATGGATGAAAATAACCATGACAGGGAAAGGTGTTCCACTTACTTCTTGAAGTACAAAAACTGCCGGAAATTCTGGGTAAGCCTCACTTGGTTGGCTTTGTGTTAAAACTCACCTCTTAGGCCTGAAACTGAAGCCCAAACTGAGTCAGTACCCACAATACCTTCGTAGTGATGACTGGGGAAACTTAACTGTTTGACCCTCCTCTTGTGTGTCCTGAGGATCCTGGAGAGCTCTTATTGGCTCCCTCCCCCTGCTTCCCCTCCCTCCTCCAGGCTGTAAGAATGCAGTTCTCCTATAGGTGGGTCTTCCTATGCATATTTAAGAGCTGCAGCCCTAAAATAATAACCTTATTATAACTTTAGTTCTCCTGGAGATGAACAGAATGGATAGCTTGCTCTGTCATAACCATTTTAGCCTTCCGTTTCTGCCTTCTCCTTTCCCAACACCACCCTTGGTTGGTAAAAAGGTGCCATTTTTCTTGAGATGCTGGTATATGATTTCTGTTTCTTTGAGCACTGGATCCAGCTACTTCCTTTCCCTTTTCTATATTAACTGTTGCTTTCACATAGCAATTACTTAGTAGAGCCTCTTGATGGACCGCACTTTTGTGCTCTTATACTTAAAAGTATATTCCCTTCCCAATTAGCATCAATGTATTCTTAGGGCAATAATCACTTCTGTTTGTTAGTTTGAAAACATTATCTGAAGTACTAGAATTAGTTTTTTGGCTCTTCTTTACACTTGATTTTTAGAATTTCCTTTTTGAGGTGGCCAATTACTGGCAAATGATGAGCACTTAGTATATGATTGATTTTGGTTTCTTCTTCTTTTTATACCTTCATGCAGAATTCTATCATGGTCCAGAGAAGACAGAAAGGAGTGAAGCCATCTATGCCTACAGCAGCAGAAAGAGACGAGATCTTGGGGGCAATGGGAAAGATGCCTTACTGACTACATTAAATTTTTTAATTTAATTTAGAAGCAGATGAATATTTTAAGCAAATGATTACTGTAATCTTTTAACACTTTCTAGGCCTTGCCCAGACAGATCTTAAATTCTGCAAAGAGAGATTAGGTTAGCCCTGTGTCCTCTGTGTTTGCTCTCAGTGCCATGACGATTGTCCGGCATGGCTGGCTGTGCCATGCTGCTGAGTTCACATTACTTCCTGAAGGTAGGGAGCATTAGGAAAGGTCTGGACACAAGGAGGGGAGCTTTTTTGCTGGGTAATGAACACTGGCCATGAAAGGAAGGTGGTGTTCCCAAGGATGGGAAATGATGCCAGCAACAACATAGTGGAAAGGAAGCTCAAGATAACTTTGGAGACCGGTCTGTAGACTGTCTTACCTAGAGTTTAAGGTGGTCGATGGAATGGCAGAACAGAAACTGGGAAGGTAAGTTGAGAGTGGATGTGTGGTGGCCCTCAAATCTCAGGCTCGGTACTAAGTAAGACCTCTAACCTCACTCCCTTATCTTTGTTTAAATAAGGTTAGCACAATGACTGGGTAGGGAAGCAGAGATGCAGGAGGATTATCTTAAATAAATGGCATGCAAAAGAACTGGTTTTCTTTTCTTTTCTTTTTTTTAGGCAAAGGCTTAGTTAAAAGATTCTGTGACTAAAATCCATATATATTGGATAACCTGAAAGCATGGTATTCCTGCAGCACAGTAATGGAAAAAAGGGTGATTCTCTTAGAAATGGGGATTTCTATTCGCTGGAAGAGATGGGCAAGGAAGGGTATGGGGGTTCATAGGTGATACACTGGGATGAGACTGGAGCTTCAATTCATTTTATACTATAAACAAGAATATTCAGACTGAGGTGGGTTGTGTGGCAGCTCTCATAGCCACTACCTTTTAATCCAGTCTATCATATACTGAACAGTTTTATAACATTATTTAATAAAGTTTAACATTTACTAAAAAATCAACGAAAGAAATAGCCTGTGTCCCTTCTGTTTTTCTGGTGCTGGATCAAGTGTATTATTTTAAAGGCAGCTGACAACAAACTATCTCGTTGGTCTCTGTCCAAAACCCAGGTCAGATGTTTTTAAGGCATATGACCCTGATTGTTAAATGTGATTCTATTTGAATAAAAGATGGATTGTTTGAGAAATTCCTTGATTTGTATTGATTGCTCTAAAAGTGATGGATTAAAATAGGAACTGACAAGAAACTAATACTTGTGTGACAAGCATTTCAGTATCTAAGAGTGCTGTTTAAGGGTTTGGAATTTTAATGTCGCTTCTTTAAATGCACATACCAATGTCAACATTGCTCCCAGAGATATTTGTCCTGGCCTACCTCTTTTTCTTTTAATAGCAACTTTATTGAGATACAATTCAGATACCGTATAAATTATCCATTTAAAGTGTACAGTGCAATGGTTTTTAGTATTTGACAAAGTTGGGTAGCCATCACAGAAAGAAACCATAAGCACACATTTTTTTGTTTCCTTTTAACACCTCCCTTTTCATCTCTCCCAACACCTGTGCAACTATTTTTCTATCTCTAGAATGGCCTGTTCTGGTAATTTATATGAATGGAATCATATGATATGTGGTCTTTTGTGACTGGCTTCTTTCACTTTTTTTTTTTTCCCCAAGACTCATTCATGTTACCTGTATCAGTACTTCATTCCTCTTTGTTGCTGAATAACATTCCATTGTATGGATTTACCACATTTTATGTATCCATTCATCATTTGGTGGGTACTTGGGTTGTTTCTATTTTGGGGATACTATGAGTCATGCTGTTTCTTGGACATTTGTGTACAAATTTTTATGTGGGCATTCATTTCTTTTTGTATATGTCCCTAGGAGTTGGATTGCTAAGTCATATGGTAACTGTGTTCAACGTTTGGGAGAACTAACAAACTATTCTTCAAAGTGGCAGCACCATTTTACCATGTGTGAGGGTTCCAATTTCTCCACATCCTCATTAACACTTATACTAGTGGGTGTGAGCTGGCATCTCAATGTGGTTTTGATTTGCATTTTCCTGAAAGCTAGTGATGCTGAGCATCTTTTTATGTGCTTATTGGCTAGTCAAATATCTTCTTGGAGAAGTGTTCATGTAGATAGATCCTTTACCTATTTTAAAGTTGGGTAGTGTATCTTTATTAGTGAATTGTGAGAGTTCTTTACTAAATACAAATCCCTTATCAGATAAAGGTTTACAAATGATTTCTTCCCTTCTCTGGGTTGTATTTTCACTTCATGGTGTCCTTTGAAACATGAAAGTTTTTAATTTTGATAAACTCCAATTTATTTTTTCTTTTGTTGCTTTCGGTGACATATCTAAGAAAGCATTGCCTAATCAAGCTCAGAAAGTTTTACATGTTTTTTTTTTCTAAGAGGTTTTGTAGTTTTAGCTCTTTAGGTCTTCAATCCATTTTGAGTTAATTTTTGTATATGGTATGAAGTGGGAATCAGCTTCTTTTTTTTTTTTTTTTTTTCATGTGGCTGCCCAGGTCCCCAGAACCTTTGGTTGAAAAGGCTATGCTTTCTCCTGTTGAATTGTCTGGGCACTCCTGCAAATCGATTGTATATGTCAGAATTTATTTCTGGATTTTGAATTCTATTCCATTGATCTGTATGTCTGTCTTTAGCCACAGTCTCTTGATTACTGTAGCTTTGTGGTAAGGGCATAGCTCTTTGATGAATGGTTTCTGGAAGTGTGTTTTCTTTTTTTTTTTTTTAATTTATGATAGTCACACACACAGAGAGAGAGAGAGGCAGAGACACAGGCAGAGGGAGAAGCAGGCTCCATGCACCGGGAGCCCGACGTGGGATTCGATCCCGGGTCTCCAGGATCGCACCCTGGGCCAAAGGCAGGCGCCAAACCGCCGTGCCACCCAGGGATCCCTGGAAGTGTGTTTTCTATGCAGTACTCCTGGTGACAAACTAGTTGGAGACTTTTGACCAGCAAATCTTTAATGTATGTAATCATAATGTGGCTCCACTTAGGCAAAGATGTTCAATTCTCAATTTGTCCTCACTAATTCCCTAATTCTTTGTTTGCATCTTTACACATACCCTGATAACTTCAGCAAACTCTTCTTGTAACCGGATTGTGCAAGACCTTGCTGCACCACTCTGGAGGGGCAGAGTCCCATCACCACTGTCAAATTTGCCACTATTGTAGTTCTCTTTCCAAGACACTACAGGAGAAGTGAATCTAATTACCCTGATAAATCAGTTGTATCAGGATGTTTGTTGGTGCAGTGAGAGAATTTTCAAATCTGACAAGCCTTTGATATCAACTATCAACTAGCAGAATATGTAGAAGGAGAATTACTTGTTCACATGCATCTCTGAGGAAGCATCTCATTGCAGGTTCTCTATGCAGTGGGAGAGAGTGGCACACTGAGTGCAATATGTAAAAGTAATCCTTTTGAGAATCACTACCTACTCGAAAGTATAAGCAGTATCATTCATAGTTACATATAAGTCATATATATATACATATATATATAGTTATAAGTAATATTACTCATGGTTATATCCCTAATACCTGGCAAGCTTCAAGTGTGGGTAATTGACTAAAAAATGTGTATGTATTGGGGGAAGGATGGCTTTTTAAACTGAACACATTGAAGAACATGCTCTAATGACGCAAAAAGGTATGTAATGTTCAAAGGTCCAAATAATGCAAAGGGTATACAGTGTAAATAAATCTGCCTAGAAACAGCCCATGTCAAAAAGTTTTCAAGGTTTTTATGCATATGAAGGATACCTCTAAATTTGTTTTGCACAAAAGGAACAGCATAGTGCATAAACTGGAGGTACCTTACTTTTTTTACTTAGTGATAGACTTTGGAGTAATTCTCCACCAGTGATTATAGATTTACTCCATTTCTTCTGATGGCTGCGGTTTTCCTTGTGTAGTTATACTGTCATTGAACCAGTCTCCCACTGATGGATTCGCTGTTAAAGACGAGGTAGCAACAACAATCACTGTGTATGGTTCTTTGCCTGTTCTGTTTTTATCTCTATAATACATGCCAGGGATAGAATTTCTATCCAAAAGGCTAATGCATTTTAAATATTGTAGGTATCCACAACCCCACCCCACCCCACCACCCCCTCCGGCAAAATGAACAAAGCCTGTGAGTGTTTCTTTTCTCACACTCTCAATCCTACTAGGTACTTTATGATTATTTTTTCTTAAGATTTATTTAGGGATCCCTGGGTGGCTCAGCGGTTTAGTGCCTGCCTTCGGCGCAGGGCATGATCCTGGAGACCCGGGATAGAGTCCCACGTCGGGCTCCCTACATGGAGCCTGCTTCTCCCTCTGCCTGTGTCTCTGCCTCTCTCTCTCTCTCTCTCTCTCTCTCTCTCTCTGTCTCTCATAAATAAATACGATCTTTAAAAAAAATATTTATTCATTTGAGAGTGAGAGAAGGGAGAGAAACTTAGGTAAACTCCACACTGGCGGAGTGCAGAGCCCATCACCGGGCTGGATCTCAAGACCCTGAGCCCAAACCAAGAGTCTGATGCTTAAAGGACTGCGCCACCCAGCTGCCCCCCCATTTGGGTACTTTAAAAACCCTTTCATCCTTACAATCATTGAATGAAAAATGGAATGGGTGTATTTATTTCCTTTACCCAATTTTTTTTTTTTTTTTTAGGTTGTCAGTGTGAATGATTTGGGGAACTCTTGATGTTGTAAGGAAACTACCTCTTTGTCATTTGTATTCTGTGTCTTTCGACTTTGAACTTAAAATTTCTGTGAAGTGATTTACATTTTAATGTAATTAAATGGACCGATCTTCTTATTTATGGTTTCTGGTGCTCAATAAATATTAAAAGAATCCAAGTACAAGTACTGCTATTACAGTTCAGTTCTGCTCCACAAATATTTGCCAAGTGCCTATAATGTGCAAAGTGCTAGGCTAAACGGGGTGGAGGAGCATGCATGAATAAGTCACCATCTGGCCCTCAAAGAACTTGACGATACTGAGTGGAAGAAGGAAATGAAAGCCACCGCAGGAGCAAGAACAA